ACCTGAGGGAAGAAGGACCCGCGGCCGGCGGCTGGCCAGGAAAAGGAAGGCGCGGCGGCGGCGCAGTGAGGACCAGGCGGCGACGGCTCCTCCTCACGCGGCGGGCCTTGGGGCGGAGCGGCGGCGGCACGTCCGCGGCGTCGGCCCGATCCGGCGCGGTCGCGCTGCTTCCCCGCGGGCGGGCGGCCCCCCCTCGCCTCGTGGCGGCGGGGGGGGCAGGGGGAGAGGGGGGCAGGGCCCTCTGCACGCCCTCAGAGGCACCCCGCCCTGCTCCTTCATCGGCGCTCCGGCCGTGCGAGGTGGCCCCGGGGAGAGAGTGCCTCTGTGTGTATGTGGAGGGCACTGCCATACCCACACCTGGCCATACTGGTGGATCTCGTAAGAAGGGCAGTGGAGATGGAGACAGGGCCCTTCACGCCCTCAGAAGCACCCCTTTCTTCATCAGCCTACCCACCCATGATCCTGGTCCCCCTAGGTGACCATGAGGAAATCCTTGAATATGTTGTGGGTTCAACACAACTACCCATCCTCCAAGACTGAGAGGTGGTTGTCATTGAATTGTGGACTGCTGTTGTAACATGGGTTAGTATCTGAGTCCAGCCAAGACAACAATTCAGGGTGAACAACCCACAGTAAATAAACCTGTAGCAAACCATGGGTCATTTGTGGTTTCTGAAGCCAGGCATGTCTTGAGTGTGCACTGCTTCTCTGCTTTGGCGTTCTTTTCCGTTACCTTTCAGAAGTGCTGGTATTTCAGCCCCACAATGTGAGAGAAAAAATAACATTTTCCATTTTTCTTGGTATTTTGGTGGGAAGGCATTGTACAAAGCAAATAAATACAATTACTTTGCCAGTCAAGTGAGCCCCCATCAGTCACCTAAAATGTTCCACCTTAAATACAGTCTAAAAATAACTGTTAATTGACAAAAGTGGGACCAAGCATGAAGCCTGAAAGCAGCCTCTTCCAGTGCAAACTGAATGCAAGCAGAGCTGCTAGATGTGACCAGGTGCCCTATTTTTCAGGTTCCTGTTAGAGCAGAGAGAGATAGGCAGCACTTTCCGGAATTATAATTGGGTACATGCCATCTTGATTTCCTCCCTCATAAGAAGAGGCTTGCAGATTCCTGCTGGAAGCCCCCAAAGGAGAGCATGAAGGAAAGGACCCTCCTGCTCATCACTGGTCACCTTGGACTGCCTAAGGATGCAAATCAGGGCATGTTGGAATACAGAAACATCCAGCATTTCCCCAGGTATATAATTTCATAATCCTCTGTCTCAGCCTCCCCCATATCTTCATATAAACCTTACCAAAGTTACTATATTTTGTTAAAGTGTCGCTTGGGGATACCAGTTCCCTGGTCATCTGCTGCCCCCCACGGTGGAGGTCTTCGCATTGTATCAGCATTGCTGGTTTTGCCTGAGAAGCACAGCTGTGGGCAGCGGGCACCTGGGCAACTGCTAGCCCAGAACAGGTTCTCCTAAGCCCCAGTTCTTGCCCCCAGATCCAGAGTGTCCACTGGTGCCAACAAACAGTTTTATTTTTTATTCTTTTAGCTCAATTGCTGGGCGGGGGGGGGGGGGTCAAGGGGCATTGCAGCAGGAGAGACAGGGGTTAACTCTTCCATTCCCATCTGATACACCAACCTCCCCCCACAATATATTCGTTCGCACTTGACAGTGAGCAGGGAGGGGGGATACCCTTTTCACAAAACTTTGGGACAATCTGAGCCAGTATGCAAGATAATCTGTGAAATTAATCTGCAATTATGTGATTCCAGTGAAATGTAAATTAAATCAGTCCTAGCAGTTATTAGTGTGTGCATGTGTGTGTGCGTGTATGTGTATCTCAACATGAAAATTATTTTCAGATTGGTGCCTTATGCACCTGGGCCTGGCATGAATAATGAGCTAGGAAACTTTTGCTTCAAATCAGACCTTGACTGCCAAGTGGCTTTAAACATGTACCTAATGTTTTGACTTCTGTTGGTTCCCCAACCCGCATAACAAGGGGGCAATAGCAGCCTCTCACTTTATGCCATTGTGTAAATACAATATAGATAAATTGACTTGAAATGCATCTATGACATTATACCATGCCTTTTTCCATGGAACTCAAGACAGAGCATTTGGCCCCCGTTCCCATTTTATTCCCACAGTGCTCCCAGGAGGTGGGATTGGCTGGGAAAAACTAACTGGCCCAAGATCTCCCTAATCCTAGTCCAATACAAGGTTAGTATTTCAGATCAATTTCCTATCCAAATTCCTAATTCGCATGGGGTCCCTTCCGATAGTTTTCAGTTTGTATAAGAACATGTTTAATTTGTATCAGAAACTTACTGGAGAAATCTCATTTAGCAGGTTTCCTAAATACAAACTTTATACTGAAATAGTCTTTAATATTCACTGATGTATGTGCTCCTGATATTTTCCTGTTTCATGTAAAATATCCCTTGTGCCCTTTTGATAGGTAAGAAACTGATAATACAGCATAAAAAGACAAACACCTCCTTTAAAGAAATGGATTGAACACCATACAACACATTCCATATTTGAATGTTTGGCATATAATCCACCTTCAAATTGACGCTTATTTAGAAAAGTGGGCTGCTTTCATTGAAGCTACAGTACAACTGCTCGGAAGATGCATGCATTCCATACCCATCTGTGTATGAAATGTTTAAAATATGTGTTTGCAGTTGCCCTTGGGCACCATCCTGGTGGTACCCACAGCCGCTGGAGGTCCCACAGGTGCCACAGCTCCTCTGGGAACCATATTGGGAACTTCTGCAGTCGGAAAATTGAATGCATTTATGAGGAACAGTGTCGCAGGAAGAGGCAACTCCAACACTGGAGTGAGAGAGCAAAAGAAGAAAATGCAAATCAGAGAACAGAAACCAGAAGCACAATCACACAGCTACAATAAATCTGTCATCAGCTCACACTTCTTTTGATAAAGGCTACATCCGAACCTGGAAAACTGAAGTCAGCTCGTAAAGAAATAGGGACCCCACTACCGCCTGTTTCCCTCCATAAAGAAACCACCAAGCACATGGGGAGTTTTGCTCACTCCTTCAAACTTAACTCTTCCAGCTTCTGGGAAGCCAAAAACGTAGGACTAAGTTTTGGGCTTACTAGGGAAGTCAGGCAACTGTTTTTAGCTATCTGCGCTCTGCTTCAAACTTAACTCTTCCAGCTTCTGGTAAGTCAAAAACTTGGGACTAAGGCAACTATTTTTAGCTATCTCCCAAAACCTTTTGTTCTTGAAAACAGTGTCCTTGTTTTAGAAGTGACTTCTATGACAGTGGGATGCTGCAGGCGTCCAGTGTGTTGGCCAAGATAACCTTATAGTAAGCTGCCCCCGGGGAGGAAAGAGTCCCATCCATGCTGACTTTTGACTGGTCCTATGTAAGGAGGCTATCTTCCAAGAGCTAAGACTTCCCCAAATACCTCTTTGAAATCAAGACGGGGTTGACTTCTCATGACAGTGATAAATTAGGATAAAATATTCCTCTCTTCTCTAGCCTCAGTAAATTTGTCCTGCAGTGTCATCTTGCTGCACTGGGGAAAATCTTTAAGTAGCTTCAGGAAAGCCTTTTAGCGGTGGCAGCCAGGCTGTGGCTGATGTGCTGTGAGAATGCTCTTAGACACAAATTTTCTATGTGACTTTGCTTTCATTGGGGCCCTGTCAAGAATGTCATATTAAGTATCTTTTAACATCCTGCTCCCTTAGCACATCAGTCCTTTGCTGCCCAGGAAAGGGTTCCCTCATGCTGAAGCACGAGTGCCTTCATCTTCGAAACACTGGGGTGTGCTCTGTTGTGAGTTGTGATGGAGTCCACCTTTGGCAGGAGAAGGGTAATGACTCTGCCAGAACTGAGACTGGCCTTCTGGAGGAGCCTGGCCAACAACAGTACTTTCCTCACTGTTATTGGCCGCTTTTTAAATCACCAACAGAATGCTACTTTAGTCTGACTTTGATTTTTGAGCTGCACATCCTTTGCCCACACTCCTTCCCCAGACTGCACATTTTGCGTCTGGCCGCATATTTTTTAAAAATGCAGACCCTTCCTGTCCCAAACAAGGAGCCCAGCTCATCAGCAGTTCATAAAGGAAATATTCGAAGGACGGATGGATGGAGGAGAGTTAGAACGAGTGAGAATGGAGTGAGAGATAGAAATAAGGTGTGACTGATGGCTTCAGTGTTGATTAATGTTAGTCGCAGTGACTCATCAACTCGAGCTTAAGGGGGTCAGACCCTACGTTTCTTTTACTTACGCATAAACTTTAGACTGCAGGACACTGTAAGCTGGAGTTGGGCACAGACCAAGTAGAGTAGGAAAACTGGTATCTCAGTGCCTATGTAGGGATCTCCCAGTTCTCCAAATGTCGTGGGAACATGTGTTTCTTCTTACACAGGTATTATAATCCCATATAAAGAATACTTCCATTCACTTCAGCCTTTGGAATGATGCAAATACCACTCATAGAACATTTCAGTTTTGGGCAACATGAACCCTCGCTCAGCGCTAGTGAAATCGTTCTGCCCTGTTGATGCATCTTTCGCCGTTACCTATTCGATTCGTGGATGTCATGAAGCTCCCTGGGTCACTTCAGGCCAGTCACAGACTCTCAGCCTGACTCACAGCACTGTTGTTGTGAGGAAAAATGGATTGGAAGAGAACTGTGGAAGCTGCTTTAGGCTCCTCACAATGTTTTGTAAAACATTACAAAGAAGTAGCATAGCTACACCTGTTCACATGTAAAAGAAATCACGAACTGGTTAGTGCAGAAAAGTTTCGCATGATCTGGCCATGTCGATTCCATTTCTTCTTTGAATTCCACTGTGCTAACAAAGGACACATTTGGACAATGCAAATGGAAGAGTAACACCTGGCAAATGAGTTGTGTCTGATGTGCAAGCACACGGTGGTTAGAGCCGGCCTCCTCCTTACTCCTCCTGCTGATCCATGAGTAGCACCTGCTGGCAGCAATAGGAACGGCAGATGTTAAGGGCTAGAGCAGTGGTTCCCCACCGTTTTGCCCTTGTGTACCCCTTGGC